AGAACTTCTTAAAAAAGTTTATGACCTAACTTAGTTACTTCTATAGATATTTTTTAGTAAATATTATATAACGATAGCTACGATATCGATAAAAATCAAATATTTCTTAAGAGCTCTTTAAGTATTCGACTTATTTTTCTCTGTGTACTTGTGTACAACTACGGTTGTTATTTTTTTTGGCAAATCCAACGGTAAATATGACCCTGAACTTTGAGTACCACATGCATCATGACGAACAAATGTATAACAAACAATGAACAAATCTCTAACAATAAATTGCACACAATTCCAATTGTGATTTAATAAAGCTGGGCTTAAATTCAGTTATATTTGGCCAAGCCAATTAAATTTTAGCATTTAAGTCAAGGCATTGCCATTCCGGCCATTTGACATATGCATGACCAATAAAGCTAGAGTCTATTAACGCGTAATTTATAAGCCAGTCAAGAAAAATCCCTTTCCGAAGATATATCTTTTATATACCTTTTGGCCCTCGCATTTTTCAAGCCCTGTAAGCCGGTAAGCCGCAATATTGGCCAAATAATCACTGCCTGGTACCAGATAAATTCCACTCCAACTTCAACTCAGTTCCCCTCCGAAATCGAAATCAAAATAAAAGAGAAAAAACAATTTCGCATAAATTTTCTCCTCTGTCAGAGAGAGAGAGAGTGGGAAAATTGCCTTTAAATTGCTTGAAAATGTTTTCTTAATACATTGCGCAATTTCGTATTGAAATCAGGGCGTGGCAGGATGTTAAAATGGCAGCATGTTAAATTTGTTTTGTTTTTTGTGGCTTCCCTCAGCTACTGATATTCTTCTTAGAAACTTTTCTCGTGTAACTCATTTGATATCTCGTGCTGTATATTTTTTCCCTTCCATATATCTTTTTTATCGAAGGGAGAATCTGGTCCCCAACTCCTGCCTTCCCATCCACCCTGTCCTTGTTTTGCGGCCGCCTTCTTCTTGTTTGTTTGTCTTGCGTGTCCTTCGGTGGCGTATGCGTAATATGTTTTTGTTTGCCACAGGCCTCGACGTTGCCGCTCCAGACACACGCCAGACAATACATCGGCTATATACACAGATTCTTATATATATATATATATATATATATTCGTATATACATATTTGCATATATTTTTTATACCTACTATGTGCGTGTTGACCTTGCGAATGGCCAGCGGCTATTGAGTGTCTTCTCAGACGCTCTGTGTCCGCATAACAAAAAGTCTTTTAATTGCTTTTTAATGAGTTGCTGTTGCGTCATTTTTGCTCGGACAGAGGCGGTGGGTGTTTGCAGAGGCGGTTCAATTTTCACAGCAGCAGTTTTAAGGAGGCGTGGCCTAATGTCATTCTTGACATCGGACATTTAAATTATAAAATATGTGCATCAACAAATATCGAACGAGTCCGTTTAAACTGGGAAAGGCCTTAGTTATTAAGGGAATTCCATACTAAGATAACATAGGGTGATATCACAGTAAAAGAAGGAAGAAATGTGGTGAATGCCCAAAGGTACATTTTTGTGATACAGATTTACTCATTTAAAATTTAAAAGTTGCTTTAAAAATAAATTTATTGTATTTATTTGTATTCTATTCAAAACCAACGTTGTATTTAATTGGAATTTATTATATTACCAAATTTTTCAAGTACTGTTCTTGTTGTTTTTTGTATACATTTTTATTTATATCGCCGCATTTTTCTTTTGCCCTAATGAAAAAAATTGCAGAGGCAGATACAGCAGCACAGCTTTCATTTGATTTGTATTGCTTTTGTTGCAGTTCAGCGGCTGGTAGTTGTTGCTTTGGCCAGGGCCTTATGGACGGCAAAGCTTCTAGAAACTGGGTTCAACAACCGACAAATGCAGCTAAAAGGAAGCTGGGTGGAAAGTGGGTAAAAAATCGGGGGAGGTGCAAGGGACGTCACCGCCTGGGACAGCACCCGAAAAAAAGCCAACTAAATGGAGATAGGGCAAAGAAGCAAATGCAAAAAATTGGCATCAAACAACAGAAACTTACAATTGGCGGAGGGAAAGGGCGGGGGCGGGGCGGGAGAAATGGGTTGAAAATGGAGGGACGGGGCAGGGGACACACATGCAATGCGCATTAAAATTGTAACTGTAACGTTTCCATCTCTATCTATCTCAGTCTGGTGCTCTGGCCTCAAGGCCCACTACATCCCATTCCCCAAACTGTTTCCCCCACATTTTCCACCATTTTCCTCACCCGTTTTCCATTCTTATGCCGTTTTCATCTCTGGCCAAGTTAAGTGCCATTCATGTGACTCCCTCCTCTATCTGCTCCTCCCCTTTTATCTGCCCTCCCCTCTGATCCTAAACTTTTTTTTACTCCTGATTTTGGTCCTTTTGCTTGTTTTTTCGACTGTTTTATTATGGTTTTTGCTCCCCAATGTTCGCTTTGTACTTTTTTGAGCGCTTCATTTATTAAAAATATTTTATTTGCAGAAAAAATGAACTCTGCGTTTCATAACTGTGACACTTGACATTGGTTGAAATATTTAAAGAAAAGCTTTAAGAAGTATGGTCTTGGATATTACATTCTTTATATTTATAGTATCAGATATTCCTGATAATTTTGCTGTGTTTTATTTGTTAAGAACTTGGCACTACAAACAAATAAATATTTATCTTAATAATATATTTATTCGGTAACCCAATTTCAGAACTCTGATAATAAACCTCAACACCTGATCCTTTCACCGGCTTAAAGTGCTGACCCACTGATTTTATATGTATCTGAATCTCCGACCGTGTCGTATCTGTGTCTGCAGATTTATATTGATTTCGATATCGTTTGTTGTATTTGCCATAAAAATTTCGTTGTCGTTTTATTGTTGTTTGCTTGGGACACGTTATGATTGTTGTAATTGCTGTTGCTACCACCACCCCCACCCAAAAATGGGCCTCAATTCCATTCGATTCCCGTTCGATTGGATGCCATTCGAATGGCCGAGAGTCTGGGCCAAATAAATTGCCAACAGTTTCGGTTACATTTTTTCTCCAGCTGGCCTTTTCTCGCTCCTTTGTTTGCCGGTCATTTGTGTGACTTTTGTGGTCGAAAGGGGATTTTAGTGGTTAATGCTCTCTGCTGGAGGTCAATTGTGGTGTTGGGGGAAAGGGTTAAAAGGTCAACTGGCTGTGCTTGTTAAGTGAACCAATTTGTTTCCAGATAAATATCCAAGTATTCTTTTATTATGGCCTGCTGCTGAATGGAAAAGGTTTTCACAAATGATAACATTTTCATAGCACCTTTGTTGCCTCATAATTGGCCTTTATATGAAATTTTCTTTATTTTTGGGTTATTTTAAAGAAGTTTCTCACTTACTCTAGATAACTTAATTGGGCTTAAAGGCTTTAATGTATATAAAGCTAATATTTAAAGCTTATTTATGGTATTCTTTCATAATATATAATTGTAATTACACAGATGGCTTAAATCCCCTTTTATACATAAAACTTTCCTATCACCCCCCACGAGCCAGTCATTACATTAATTTGGTATCATTCCTTTTTTGTAGTTCGACTAAGTGCTGGCTTCCATAAAAAAACTAAATTAATAAAGAACCAGATAAACCAGAATTTCATGGCAAAGGATTTATTGGGGAAATACTGTAATATTTATGGCTTATATGCTGATGTGTGTTGTCATAAAAAAGGAGAAAACAATGTCTCTGCCACTTACCGAAAAACATGAAAAAATCAAACAAATGAAGACACAAAAACCTCCACCACGCCCAGTTGCCTCATAAACCGCAAAATGTGTCGAGGCTCGTCACAATAATGTACACACACACATTGATATATGTACAGCCAACGACATGGCATTAAGTCCACATGTTGTCTGGATGGTTCCCAAAAAATAAAATCAAATTTGTTTTCATATTAAATTGTGTCGCTTGGAAGGCTAAAAACAAAACTGTTTGGCTGTTTCTCGAAATGTTCATGCTTCTAGGCCGCAACGAAAATTTTGAATCTCTCACAGTGTTTCCCATGAAATTTGGAAAATTTTCTGCCGCACATGCGGAACATGCAGCACAAACGCTGGAAAAATAAATTATGCAATTAATTTGCCAGCCCATCCCCAGACTCATTAGCCGAAAAACGAAATGGCCAGACCAATTTCCAAAAATATTGTTTATATTATTTAATTTGTCAGAGGCGTAGTCGTGTGAAAATGTAATTTTAAAAGGCAGGCAAATATTTTGTGATCCAATCTGAACATTTTTAATATTTATACTTAACTCCAAATCATTGAAAAATCATTAAATTATTGAATATAGATATTTTGCTCTTAGTCATTAATTGTTTAAAAAGGAACAAATATACAAATTAAATATCAACATATGGGATGGTTAACACCCCCTTTTTCACAGACTGTGATTTATTTTGCCCGTTGAAATGCATTTTAAATTTGCCTCTTAAAATGTTTATGTTTTGGTTATTTACGATTTTGGCTTTGCAGTTCACAGAAATAATTATTTGTTAAACCAAATGCTTTTAAATAGTATGCTATGCGAAGTTTTAAGCAAAAAACAAATCACTAAATAATTAAAGGCTTGTGGTATTTCTTCATACAGTATTTTTTCAAAAAGAAAACCTTTTTCATGAACTACTTTAGGAAAAAATGTTTTTAATAGATTTCGTTTGAAGAGTATTCTCCAATCCACCGTGGCCCATCTCCCTTTGTATACAATTATATTTGCGGTTTTCCGTCTCTGTTTGCATTTTATGTAAAGCAAGCGTCATATGAATGTGATGCCAAAATGAGCAATAATATAAATGGTACAATTATAAATATGGAAACAATATGCATACATTACCCAGCGATGTCTATGAATTAATAATAGTGTTTCTTTCTCACTTTAAACCCTTTAAATCGTGTAAACATTTTTACAACATTACCATTTTTTCATCTACATGATTTGATTGAATATTTTTATAAAATAAACTAACTTTTTCTTTTCTCTTATTTTCATTCCAGGTAAGCAACAATCAAAGATGATTACGTACACGCATTGTTTCAACTTGAAGTGTAAGTGCAAGTGACAAATTCCATTTCAAATTCAATTAAATACGAAGAGGAGTTTGTTTGTGTGCAACTGACCGTGCAACAAGGTCAGACGTAAAAGTTTCAGTTTTATTTCCTCGTCTCCAGCTTCTTCGTTTTTTCGCCTTTGGCAGTTATGCAATCCTTGAGAGGATTTCTCCCTCACGCCCGGCAGGAAGTCCATCTCTTTGGGGTCTTGGCAAGCATTCCCATGTCCTGCATTGGCCACGCCCACACCACACTTTCCGCCCCCATCTGCCCCCACCCCACGCTTCCCCTTTTTTTTGCCTTTTTATGGCCACGTGCGAAAATGCGGCAAAAGTTTTACGAGGTCAGGGTGAAGATGCTTCCTCCTCCAAGTTGAAGATACTGCCGATGATGATGTCACTTCAGTAAAATAATTTGATACAATAAAATTGAGGGGAATGAGTGCAAAGGAATATGGCAAAGAAATTTGCATGCACTGTGGGAAAGTCCCACTAAGAAATTTTAGAATTAATGTCTAAATATTTCTAAGGTGGCTTTTTCCAGTGAACAAATTTTTTAAAATGTTTTATTGGGATTAATTTCAGTTTTTGAATTTACTGAAGTAGGTTTTAACAAAATTAATTTGTCGTTTTACCTAGGAATAATTTATCTGAAATGCAAACATAGTAATTTCTTACAGTAATAGCCAAACTTTTCTCGAAACTGTAACTTCTTACTTTTTCATTTAATTTAATTCAGCAAACTGCGAACTGACAAACGTCATTCGAGTAGTTGGCACTTGTTGCCGCCTTGAACGAAAATTTCTCTTCAATTCGCAAACCAAAAAAAAGCCAAGATCCCAGACGACGTCAACAACTTTGGCAGGTCCACGCCCTAACCATTTGCACAAACGCCTCAAGTCGCATGCAAAGTGCAGACCTCGGGGATTGTCGGGTCTGTTGGAGGTTCAGGCTGTCTCCATCCAAATGGAGCTATATCTGGAGTGCTCAGTTGGAGCGGAATCCAAGACTTCAAGACTCACATGTCTTCTGGCCACGCTCAATTCAATTCAATTAAAAGCCGGCACACGCCGCACCCAAAAGCGAGCCAGCAAGCAAAAAACCCAGAGGGTAGACATTTCGATTAGTTAGGATGTTAAATAAAGTGACAACTTGAATGCTCTACGAAAACTTAAATGGAAAAAGCTGAAAAAACATCAATATGATTGGCAGAGTTGTCATTCGCCAAGAAATTTCTTAGAAAAAGTGCTCGTAATAGATTTTCTTCGACTGCCTTAAAGTGCATTTAAAAGAGTCTACAAATTTATTTATTTATGCAGTAAACTTAACTGCTTATAAATTATTGATACAAATTGCAATTGCTACATTCTGCATCATTTGTAAGGGCTAAAAATTTCGATGGCAATCTATATTTTCCTGCACCGCTGATTCGTGTCAGCGAACCCTGAAAATCTGATTAAAACCCAACTGAAATTCAGCGAATCGTTATGCGATATCTTTTTCATGTTGTGTTTCTCCCCTTCGGATTTTTTTTAGTTTTCATTTTTTTCCGAGTAAATTTCAATTGATATTTGTTATTATTTTTTTCTGTTTGGTCTGATTTCTGTTATTTGCTCCTTTTCGCATTGTTGGGGGGCGGTAGGCCGCCGAACTCTTTGGCATTTTTATTGGGTGTGTGTGTGTGTTTGACTCGCTTATTTGGGGCGTAAAAGTTGGAGTGGTGGAGCGCAGCACTTGCCACAAATTATCCAATGGTCGAGCCAGGTTGCCATTCACTTTTCCACATTAACTTCAAGTTTTTGCCCCCCAGTGGAGCAGTGGTGGGAAAAACGTGGAAAAGCGAGATACTGGAATGGCGGTCACTTGAGGTTTTCCCTACTCCTCCATGGCTTGTTCACTTTTCTCCTGCTCTTTTTTTGTCTAGCACTCTCTTGCAATTTGCCTTTGATGAGTCACAAAATGCCGCTGCATAAGCGTGCAAAAAAGAGGGGAAAATTCCCTTCAAATTTCTGTATTCACCCGCGCCTTTCGCGCCCACTTTCTCTTTCGGCTTGTGTTCTATTTGCTCAACTAAGCATCAATTAACGCTAATTATGAATTTTTATTTTTAAGTTGACTTTCAATTGTAGTCGAAACAAACAAAAGGTGAAAAGGTGCAAGCCTTTGAGAAAACTACATTATATTTGCTAAACATACATCTATTGAGACTTAGACTTTTGATATTTTAATCTGTATGTTAAAAGTTAGTTAAAGTTATTAATCCAATAAATGCTTTAAACCCTTTCTAAACATTCAATAAGCTTTGCTTTAATTACTTTTGGTTGCTTCTTATGAAATATTCAACGGATTTGCCAATTACATTTTCCAGCTTAATTAAATGCACTTCATAGCCCTTTGAGCAGCTGCAGGTGAATAGTTACTTAGCCAAACACCATGCTAATAGCTTTGCATATTAAATGAGCCTCCCAGCTTGACTATGATATATGTAAATTTATCGAACCGAATTTCCTTGGGGAATTCGTGGCCCAAGGCCACTTTAAGCTGATAAGTTTTCCCCCGTGGCTTTCTGTTTGTCCACCTAATTTCGTATCAATAAATTGAAATTGCAGAGAAAATGCCACGTCGACACTGTATTGTTTGTTTGCCTCCCAGTTTGCTTGTGGCTGCGTTTTTGTATCTTTAGCGGCATCTGCAGACAAGTGCCGTATCTTCAAGATGCAAATTAAAAGCGGAGCGGCAGATGCGCCAAATATAATTCACTTAAATGCTGTTCTGCCCCTCGGCGAGTGACTCACATCCTCAATTTACGTTCGTTTCAATGTTTACTCTGCTTTCGTTTGTTTTTTTCTACTCACTCTGATATTGCCCCTTCTTCATTCACAAATAGGTGAATCCGCGAGGGGAAACTGGGTCTATCTTATCTCCATAAAGACTTACCACGAAAACTGTTCTGAAAAGAAGCCTCTGTGGAATTGTTAAGAACAGTGGATCATATCATAAATCAAACTCGATGATTCATCCAATCGGAGCTTTTGATTTCTAAGGCAAATCCCAACTTAGTATGTCCGGTTTTGGGGCTAATCAATTTTGAACTGGTTCCCCGAATTTATTTGAAAGAAGTCTTCTAAGCGAAAAGACAACGGCATATATTCCAAGAAGAAAACATTCCATTCTATGAGTCATATATAAATTTAAATAATAAGAAATGTGTGCAAAACTGGGGTGAAATTCGTTATAAATGACTTTATTATATGGAAGAAAACTTTTAATTCAGCATGATAAGTCCACTTTATAAACTTTAAAAGGTTGTAGACTATCTAAGACTATAATCCAAGAAAGAACAAACAGAAAAAAATCATAAACAACTTCCAAACAGGAAGCTGCTCTTATAGACGACCTCTACAATACAATCTTTATTTCATCAATTATTTACTAACATAATATAATCCCTCGTATCTCTCACCTATTCAAATTATTACTATTATTGTATGGACGACTCGTCTTTATCTTTCGGTTAGTGACTCACCTGGCTGGACCAACTTTTACTTTTGACTGAGTTTATATTTTGTTGACCAACTTAAGTTTCATAATTAAATTCAAGTTCAAAGACCTGCTAAAGTTTGCTGCCATATATTCATGTCAACATGTCTGAGGCAGACTTTTCCTTTTCCCCTTTCTTTTTTTTCGTTGTGTTTTCGTTTTTTGGTTTTGGCTTGGTTTACCTCGCCCTGCTAATGAAATAATTAAAAAATAGTTTTACTGCCGCTGGCAGGCGGTTAAAAAGACCAAAACAAAAACCATAAAAGTGTCAACTGCAGTTGGTGTAAAAACACAGAGAAAAAAACATTGCTTAAAAAATCAAAATGAAGAAAAAAACGGTTTGCAGATCTGAAATTTTGTGAAATTTCGTAGTCGAAGCGAAAAGAATGTCATGTTTGTGTGCGTGCCTGCATGCGAAAAGTTAAGTGGGGAGGCGGTTTGGTTACGGGGCGTGGCAGTCACGGCATGCGAAATGTATCTATTAGATACACGCCTGCGAAATGCGGTTAACTGCATTGGCAGCCGACGCAGTTTTGCCATTTACCGTTAGCTACAGTTGAATTTACAACCTGCACTTGTATCTGTATCTCAAGCCGTGCTTTGTATCTATATCTCAAGTCGCTGCCTGCATCTGTATCTGTGAAGTAGAAGCCAGTAGAAGCTAAAGCTAAAGCTGAAGTATTTGGGTCACTCGTTGCCGCTTGGCTGCCACTCGAAGTCGTCTAATGCCTCCTCCAATGGCCATGGCGGGTTTTTCAACTTCATCTTGGCCACTTTTTTCTAGTTTCCAGTACTTTTTGGCTGATGCAAAGAGAGGACAGTATTTCGCATTCAGTTTGTTACGCTTTTTGGTCAGGGTATTATTTCGTTTTAGCCCAGTCCGTTAAAGTTAGATGATTAAAGTACTTTTCTGAATTGGATAGTTGTTGCAGAAGAGATTGCTATGCAAAAGAGACCTTTTATTCTGGGCTTAAATGAAATATGCAATTTACTTTGAAAATAATATAATAAAAATAGTTTAAAATTGGAATTCAAAATGAAACTTTTTTAAGGAAAACATAAAATAAATTAGCTTTTACCAATATTTATTTTAGAGTATCTGAAATTGTTTAACTGCTAGTACCTAAAACACATATTGGCTATAGCAAATAAAAGTCGAAGTATTTTTTTTGGTGAACGTATCCAAAATTTTTTGCATGTTGCGGGCTGTGCGATAAGTAAACTCGCGTATTCGTCGTGTGTGTGGGTTAATTTGAAAGTTTCAACTGTCACAAATGTTATAATTGACGGCAGCCACTCGCGAGCTGTGCATCTGCGAGTGTCTGTACATATGTACCTATATCATATATGTATATCTGTGTGTCTTTTGTCGAGCGCGTATCTCACGGATGCAGTTCAAATTTCGTTATGCTCGTGTTTTGTGAGCATTTGGCCGTTAAGTGCCGTTAAGTGAGGCAT